TCAATTTTACTTTTATCAACAACATTTAATTCCTTGCGAAATTTCACTAGGAAATTCGAAGGAATTCTGGCATTTAAAATTCTCTTCTTTTTCGGGGGAAATCGAAGACGACTAGAGTTAAAGAAACGCCGAGGGGGGGAACTGAGGATTCTAGCTTTCCCGCGCAGGCCCTATGCAAAGTAGTCCAGAGGTGGGGGATGAAGTGAAACTCTGGTATATACAGAGGAACGATAGTGTAGGTTATACGCGAGAGGGAACGGTAAGGCGGCACACAGACCGGTGAGTGAGGGAGGAGAGAGGGGAGGAAGGAGGATGAAGTGGTGAAAGGGGTTGGGGTGAAGTGAGGGTAGTAGAGAAGGACCCCAGAGCGGTACGATGAGGCAAACAACCCCTTAGTTCTGGTGTAGCGGCCGCAGACGCCCCCACCACGGTTTATATTTTTCACGAGGCTCTTTGGCATCGCGCGATGAAAACCCAACATCGTGGGTATGAAAGCCTCGATGTGAGCGCCACTCGCGTGCGGCTTTTCCGCTCTTCTTTACGTGTGTAACCAGCCACCTCAACCGTCACGCTCAACTTCATCTATGACGTGTACTTGAACGCGTTATTAAAATTAGGTTTACATGGGGTTGTAAATTTTTATGAAGAGTTGAGAGAACTTTTTGATAAACTTTCAGGATAATTTTGTGCATTGAGGGAACTCTTGAGGAACATTTCCGTGGTGTTTTGTCGTGGTGGAATGGATACAGTGAGGAGGTACTCCGATTTGAAATACCGCGTGTTTTGCGCACGTGTTCACTCCTACACACACAGTGTAAAGACTAGTTTTTTAATAAATAAGTCATTTTTTTCGTTTAACAACGACGAAACGTTTGATAAACAGGAATGTCTTAAGTTGAGATGCGAAAGATTAGTTAAATTTGGAGACACAAATGTCTTAAAAATGGAGACAAAAGTATTTTAATTTCAGCCACTAGTTCCTAGTGCACACAAAATACAGCTAAAGAAAAACGGGAATGGAAAAAGGAATATTGAAGAATTATGTCTTTCAATTCCGAAGAAAGAAATTGTGACTGAAATTGGAAAAAAAATTAATAGCATTCATAAATTTTCAATGACGTAATTAAAGCACTAATCACTCTTTACATTAACGGATCAATATATTTTATTTATGAGAATGCGAATTTTCTCGAAGTTAAGAGAGAGCAAAAAAAACATCTCCAAGAGGGATTTTTTTTCTCGTTGTGCATGAGATACCGTTCGACATGAAGTCATTAGAGATATATAAACGAGAGTGCGAATGAAACGATAAAACAACAAAAAATGAAAAAAGCCCAATGGTTCGAAACCTCGTAATTAACGACGTGTCGTTGTAGGATTTAATTATACTTGATCATGTGTGTTAATGTGTGCATTGGTATCTCGATAGATTACCAACACGATCGGCTTGATCAAAATCAACATAATAATTCCCCTCTTTCTATCACTGATAATTCCTGAATAAGTCTTTAATGAGTATTTGTATTTGTCAATGGGTGGTGATCAATTAATAATGAATATTCGAATAAATGTTATAACGATTGAGCGATTGAATGTACAAAATAAAATGACGAGTTGACGATTGCGAGTAATTTAATATCACATGATGGGAAGAGATTGGAATGAAAAAAACATTAACGATCATCGGATTAATTAATCGCTCGCCTGTAAATGTGTTTATGCGGGTGACGTGTGTTACATCATTGCAAATGATTATTTGCGCACGAGTGAGCTTACACGTACTGAACATTTACCATTAATTAGTTATTAACGATTCGTAATTACGAATGCAAATTCACTGTGGATAATTCCACTCGTTGTTGAGTTTAAATACCACTGATCAAGTTTCATAATAATTCCAGCTTCGTTTAGCTATATCCAAGCCTCGAAAAACAAGAGATTGAACCCGCGATATTAGTCATTTTTATTCACCAATTATAATTATTAACAGAATGACACTAGGATCAATAAATTTCGCGCTTTGATTAACATCTGAAATTTAATATCTGTATCCCAGAGAATTGATTGGCGTCATAAATATCTTGAACACGATTTTTTTAGAGATTGAGTGAATTAATAACTTGACACAAAAATATGGTAATTAATTTATCGCCGGATAATCATCTCATTTGTCTCGCTGGGGATTTTTGATTTAAAAAAAATGCGATGATCGAGAGATATTGGATATTAAATAAATACTCATTTACAATGAGGACAGAAGTGATGCAAAAACTCGACAATTGTGCAATTATTTTTGATGTAATGGAAAATGTGGTAATTAATGAATTGATCATTGGATAACATAATAAAAACTAGTCTCTGAACTTAAGACATTCTGGGTATCTTACTTGAGGATGTTATATTTCTTATAACTTATGATGTCTCATTTGTCTTGCTGGCAATTTTTTATTCAAAAATAAGAAAATTGTTAAAATGAACTCTCGTTGATCAAGAGATTAATGAAATTGAAATGATTATCTTCACTTGTGCACAATCGTGAAGTAGCCCAGGGGATACATTGACGAGATCGTCAATAATCCCAGGAGTTGGAAGTGGGACGCGACAAGTAACAGCCAGTCATTTGTTTCTGTTTATTAATTCGAGGCGAGGCAAGAGATATCCACTCTGACGCATACACCCAGGAATACGGTAGAGTGTGTTCATCGCCCACGCGATTTGTACCGAAAAAAAAAATCCAGAAAAGAAAAGCGGGAGAGAGAGAACAATCTGTGTCTCTCGGGTTCTGGCGCAGTGTGACGGGCCCCTCAGATAAAAATAAACCGCCGCGACAGCGACTGGGGAATATCGGAGAAAGGTGTGAATCCACACATTCCCCTTGTAGAAATTCCAGAATATTAATTTGTCCAATAGACTCGGACATTACATTCGGGGAGGCACTGATTGAGATCACAAGCGATTATAAAGATGATGTTTCAGGACTTTATTGCCCTCTGTCTCACTCGCACAATAGAACTACAGAGAGTTCTCTGGTAATTGTCGACGCGTGTAATTACCCGTGATTGGATCTCGAGGCTTGGTTTGTGACGACTGGCTAACACGGGGGCACCCGTTTACAATACTTACCACTATTACCCAGTAGGCCAGAGTGAATGCGGTCGCAGTGTATTGTGATCATAGCATGGGATAAAAATAAACATTTGTCGCGCCCGTGAATGCAATAAAAATCCATTATTCTTGTTTATCTCTTGAATTATTCGGCGTTGTAAAAATATAACCCCGCGAATTTATTTTGTTTCATTGGAAGTTTTGATTATTACGATATTATTCCATAAATTTTGAATATTTTCTCCGCCTATTCAATTTCTTTTCGCACAGGCACTCAAGTTTAATTTATTCTTTCCAATAATTTCATCTTTATTATTTCCGTTCCTTATGATTTTTTTTTTACTTAACGACACACTTGTGTGTCTCATTCATTTTCTCCGTTCTCCTACGAGATTTCTTGGTATAATACACACAGTTATCGGATTATCGGTTGGAATTCCAGAATTAAAATTTATGAGATACGGTGGTGGTGATAAAAATGTGCCCGGTGGCTAATTGATTCGCCTGCGTTGACGTAGGTCTACGCACGTATGGGGATCCCGTGGTGTTTTTTCTTTCTTCTTCTTCTTCTCAACTGAGCGTGGATGCATACGAGAGACTTGGGTTGAGGCGAGAGAAAGAGGCGGGTAACGAGGAATAAAGCGTCCGGGGGAGGGCAGAGACATCCGCTGGTTATTACGGGCAAAACCACACCACGGGCGACTTCAACTGGGGGGAACAGGAGGGGGGGGGGGCAGTAAGTGTGACTGCGTGGTCAGAGGCTTTGCTGTAGGTCCACCAACCACTGTATTATCCCGTATGTACGGATACAGCACTCCTTCGGGTGACTCTTTTCGATTATAACGGGGATAAAAAATGATTCTCGCGCCCAAAGACATGTAAATTTATGGAGACCCGAGCCAACGGGGGCCCAACCAGTTCGACCAATCTCGGGGCACGCTGATGCATTGTGATAGTCCATTAATGCATACATCTCTAATTGCATGATGAAATAAATATGATAAAAGCTCTATTCTGAGTTTTTTATTCGTTGATTATGGAAATTCTTTTCGATTCATTCGTAGTGGAGGAATTATGCATAAATAAATATTAATGTTCATTATATTCATGGTATAATAGTGTTAAATTGATTTTTTATACATTTTTTTATGTTTACTTGATTGAAATAGGGATAAAAAAATTAGGTTGATTTATTCAAAAATGTTTATGAGGGTCTGTTGTGATGCACACACGTTACGTGTAATTGATTTTAACAAAATTGTTTTAGATTGTCCTTGTGAAAAATCTGAAATTTTATTTAATTTACATTGGATGCTGAAATTTCGCGATTTTTTTCCTCTTGAATCGAATCACATTCATTCAATATCACTCTCCTGAAAATTATCAGTCAACAGTATATAAAATTGTATTATCCGCCTGTCCATCCGTCAAAAACTCTTTTCTCAAACCTGTTAATAACCAAAACTGATAAATTTTAATTTTTTTATTTCTCCTCCCCAAACTTTGATTCTGAAAAATTTATAAATTTAACGTGATACCGAGACTCGTATGCAATCCACTTCTTCGCGCTTCGACGAAGTTCAAAGATCGATCCCCGACGTTGAACTATTCCCGTAGGCGTGGCATTCCATGCCCAATGCTTACGTACACCCATGCATACGTGTACACATATATTTGTATATATACTGAAAAATGAAAAAGAAAAAAACGTATGTGTCGAGGGGGCTGGCGGGGAGGGGGGGGGGGCAGAGGGCATAGCTCGAAGGGAATTGCTTTCGACGTCAGGGAAGATCTTTTTATCCCGCGAATCGTGACCTGAAAATTTCAACTTCGCGGGCATGCATTATTTCCAACGGTCTGATCGAGACTCTGGTCTCTTATCTCCTCTGTTGCAGGGACGTGAGGGCGTCGAAGGAGCGTAGATGAGTTCAGCCGTCTCCCTGACTGGTGAGTCCAATACTATATAAATAAATTTGCTCATGTGTGTGTATGTGTTTGATAATAGAACGGATCTTCCAATTCCAAAGAGACAATATGAAATTGTAACACGAGAGAACAAGAGCCCAAAAAAAAGAAGCCCCGAGTGTTGGGCCTCGACCCCAAGGGTCTAGCCTCGTCAAATGAAAAAAAGAAAAAAGAAACAAGTTTGCGGTCTCCAGTGAACGAACGGTCTCACGCGAAACACATATAATTATTTTCCCTCTTTATGTTATTTCATTTTCATCACTGCAACAAAATTTCAGTATAACCATTCACTCGAAATGAAAAACAAGACGCTATTGAAAGTGCTTCGGTCTCTCTGCAACACATTAAAATAATACGGCTCGGTGTATTCACCTTTTTAATAGCACCTCATGAGATTATTCGTTTGTGGGTTCCGGCTGTGACTCAACGTATACCCGTGAGCGCCTGCACTCCCTGGGTACTTGTTTGCTAACATTTTTCAACGGGAAAAAGAGAGGGGTAGATAGTGAAAGAAATAAAGAATAAAAGGAAATTGGCAGGATGCAGAGATAGGCTCTCCCAGCTACCTTCCTTCTTCCACATAAATACGGATTTAGTCACGCGGTTTACGACCAAAAACGTGTCGAGCGTCGCGTCCAAGCCGCGCCTAAATTATTAAAGTCGTAAACGACCGAAATCGTCGTTAAACGGCCCGATACCCAAGCGTCGAAGAAGCTCCTCGTGGGCATTTACCCCTCTGCCCTCCCCTCATCTCTGTCTTTTCTCTTTTCACTCGATGGTGTCTCGGTCGTCTCGTTCCCCTTGGCCTTAACCATACGGCGACACATCGTTTTTCTTCGAGTTTCATTGTTAGGATTCGAGAGTAGGTAGAGCCCACGTAGGACGCACATCGAGAAATCTCTCTCTCTCTCTCTCGCTTTCATTTTTCCCTCGCTCAATTTTTGTTGTTCCGGTTTACTCTCATTTTTGAATTTTTTTTTTTTATGTCCTTTCGCAACTCACGAATACGTTCAACTTCGATATTCTCGTATGGGTCCCCGGATTCGCGCTAATTTAAACGTCCCAGCGGACTTTTATGGACGTTCCGGTGGTGACAATAGACCACGCTCCTCGGAAATATTGTAATAACCCTTCGGCCAACGGTGTATAACTAAACATAACGCGCGTTTTGAGAATTTTTTTAATCCCGTCGATAGGGGGAGGCTGTTTTATGAGTTTCTTTCATTTCGAATCGAAGTCATTTGTTGGTGAATATCATTTTACGAGCCTCAACTGCTTTAGTTGGGATAATCCGGAGGGATAAATCTTGGAGAGAATGGTTTTCATTGAAAACTTCATCCTTTTTTTTTTATTGGCAATAAAAATTTGGGCTAATACTGTTCCAAATTTTTCTGCCATTTCGGAGCTTTATGAATATTGTTAAAATTTTGGGATGAAATTACTCTTCATGAGTATTTTTATCAAATTAATATTTCACTGAAATTTCAAAGAATTTCGGTACTCAAAATTCAAAATTGTATGGAAAAACGAATGAAAACTCTAAATTTATGTTATGTTTTTAACAAAAAATTTTCAGTTTAATTTTTTTTTTATTTCAAGGGTACGATATACATCAGAGTATATTCAATCGCATCCCTGTTATACACATCCCGTTGAATTCTCTCAACTTCCCCGTTCTCTTCGCTTCGCAATGTATCTTTTTCTCCTCTACCCGATTACCACGAATCTCCTCCTCGTCGACGACATCGTCGAGTTCTCGTTCTCGCACGAGGACACACAGTGTCGAAGGGTAGAAGCTCGGGAAAAAAAGGGCGGCAAAGGGGGTAACGCCGTCACGTATCGGCAGATAGGTACGTACTATGGGTGGGTGACTACAAAGAGGCGAAATCGATTTGCAATTTAAATCGATCTTAGTACGTGCCTGCGGCTCATTCAGCACAACGCACCGATGATTTCACCGTGCTACACTCTTGTCGCGCTTCAGGTTCGATAACCAGCGACAGCCGGCGTATGTACATGCCCCCCCCCCCCCC